TATAACTCTCGAGCGAGGACGTTTCTTCAACGAAACGCCGCAAACTTTTCGAAACAATTCTTTATTTCACCTTCATTTTATCTACGATTACCGACGATCTTTTATCGTCACCTACTTTTATGATTTCCAGAATAGCTGCGAGATAGATTCCGATAAAATCTCGCGAAATTCTTACGAACTTATCGGAAACTTTGTGGCTCATCAAAAATGCAGCGAATCATCTTAATGGATACTTATAAGAGAACCACTCGCACTCTTCCGGCAGAATTCCAGCGCGCCTTCTTAACGGCAATATTAAAATTCTAAGCGCTGAATATTTCAGAAATCGACCCGCCGTGTTGTTGAGAGAGTAACTTTCGGTATACGCCCGTCTAGCCAGTTTTTAGGCAAATTGGGTTTCTAGTATTCTGATATACCAAATAAATAAAAGATGTTTATTTATTTAAACATCCTGTATAAATAGCCAAAAATAGGCTGGCACTTTAATCAAACTGTGGAAATCGATTCCTCTTCGACATAATTTATATTCGCACTTGATTGCACATATTTTATAAAAATAGAAAATTAAGATAACGGAATTTTATTTTTCGAAAATTTAAAGCATTTGCGAAAAAGATAATAAGAACAACAAAATCTGTAATCAAACATTAGATTCTTCCCCAATCAACATGTATCTCAACCGAGGGGGAAACCGCTGAGGGCATTGTGGTGTACATATTTGCGGCATTACTGGGCATTACTAGGACATTTTTGGGGCATTACGTCTTGCTGGGGCATTATAAAGATAAAATAAATAAGGTAAAATAAGGTACAGTAAGATAAAATAAGATATAAAACAAGATAAATACGATAAAAGAAGATAATAAGATAAAGTAATGCCTACTGGGCATTAGTGGGCATTGGTGTACAAGATTTTGGTCAGCGGTTTCCCTCTCGATCTCAACTATTCAATTCAATACATATTCTCGATATTTTAACTTTAATAGCAAAGGAAGCGAGACGGAGAGCTGCCGTAAATAATATTACAATTAAATTCTTTTATTCGTAGGAAGATTCAGTATTTAATACATTAGGCTTTCAGGGCGGAATTTTCAGTCAATTTGCAACAGCCGAACCTTTCTGAGCAACCACTCGACGAACGAATATCTTCAGTGAGAGAACGTTCTGCGGTCTGGTGCGTAAAGCCTAGGCTCAAGCGAAGACGAAAAGCAACCTCCGCGTGACGTCTGGTCGTGTGAAAGTACACGTCCCCGGCGGAATTCGCGCGTAGACGAACAATCCCGGCACTGATCGCGACTCCCCCCGGGCGAGGCCGCGCCGCTTGGTGTGCGGCGGGGATCGAGAGTCCGCGAGGACGGAAGTACGCGAGCATCAATTTTTTTTCCTCCGGCACGTGCCGGCGTAGGCGTCGCGCCGTGGCCGTGAGGGAACACGATTTATGCACGCGAGTGAGGCACTGAGGCCACGCGTGGCCGCCACGAGCGGAAAACGAAACTGGAGCCGATACGCTCCGTGCGAAGAAAGCTACCGAAATAAACGGACACGCGCGAGGGCGAGAACTCGCCGGCTAGACCTCGAGACGAGCGAGCTTACTCGAGTACGAGACTGCAACGTACGAGACGGCGATGGTCTCGAGTGTCAAAATCAAATTGCTGCGAGACTTAAAACGTCGAAGGTGCAGTGCGATTATTTTGGAAAATCGCCACGAAAAAGACCTTGGATCTTTCTTTAACTGCTAGTTCATCGTGCGAGGAATTAGAGAACGCGTGTAAAAGTTCAAGGATGTGATTAAAGAGACAAATAGACATTTACTTTGATTTCCTACCGTTAAAAAATGACTACACTCAGCGATAAATTCGATGGTTCGTTGGATGTAAATCTTCATTTATCAGCGCCTACAATTTCTTACTGAACTGCCCAAAATAAATCTTACGGTTAGAAACAAAAGTTAATTTCTCCACTCGTCTACAAACTTCTTTTTCACTTACCTAACTGAATTAATATCAATTTCCTCGAAATACAAAAGTTTAAAAAAGTTGAATATGAAATATAGAACAGAGACAATTCGCGTGAATCGACTCTTCGCATGACAAATAGTTTTTCCAATTACAAGCGAATAGAGGAAAGTCCTCTATTATGAGATATGACTCTAATGCGAGATAGTAGGTTTCCAACGTCCAAATTCAATCACAAGTCTTTCGTCGCAACGATTACACGATCTAACGATCAATTGTCCACTAAACATATTTCACTTCAAGGGCAATAAATCTTCGCTATCTCATAATAGGGGACTGTCCTCTATTAATTCGTACGTGCTGCGAAAACATTATAGGATGTATAAGATGTCGACTCACACGCCAATTGCTCCCTTCGAAGGTTTAAATTTCACGTAAAAACTTCCGATAGTCTACGTCTCATTCTCATATCAAAAATTCTGTCTACGATCCCGTTGCTTCGTTAGAACAGTGGCCCGAAGTTTCTTGAAAAAAATTATATTCCAAAATGTGTGAAGGCTCCCAAAAAGAAAAGGGAAGAGTGCCAGTGTGAGCCACAAATGAACAGAAAACGGTTCTCACAAATTAGAAACAAAATGTCTCTTTAATAAACGTTTCGACCCTCCTTCGGATCTTCCTCGATAAACCTCGTTTAAATCGACTAAAGCGTATCTTAAGGGATCAGAGTGGTATGTTGAAAAAATTAGCTTCGGCTCTTTGAAAGATATCAGATAAATACTAGCGCGGGAGGAGAATGAGTAAAAAAGCCCTTCGATAAAAACAGAAGGGAAAGCCAATTTGTTTAAGGGTAGCATAAGAAAGATCGACCTTTGACCATTCGGCAAAAGCGTCACGATATTAATTCGCCGGAAGTTCGTTCCCGGCCGGAAGTCAACGGGTTTTCTCCGGCGGACACGACGGAGAAACGGAATTCGATTTACATGGCGATCCCGCGGCTGATCCTCGTGTCAAGGCCGCGCGATTAAGATTACCGGACGCACCTCCGACGTGCGCGGCAATTAAAACGGTTAATTTATGGGCCACGAGACGGTGCGCTCCCGTAACCCGCGACTTCGCGGAAAAACCGGCGGAGAAAGGCGCACTCGGCGTCGTAGCGACGCGAACGAGACGCCGGCAATAACAGTGACATCGATTATCGCGGCGATAACGATAACACGTCCTCTCGCATTCTTACGAGGTTGACAGACGGCGTGATCGCCCTCGGGGAGATGCAAACGTCGCTTAAGCCTTGTGTCCACGATTCAAGAACTGTGTCCAAGTTC